AGCAGCCTTCCGCGTCAGAACCACAAGCTACGCCATCGGAAACGCCAGTGTCGCAACCCCTTTCTGGAACAGGAGCAAGTTCGACACCCACCGAAGGCCAGGCTATACCTACCGTCACTGAAGGCCAAACCACGCCCACCAACAACGAAGCTCCTAGCAATACCGACAACCAATCTGCGCCGAGCAACACCGAGAGCCAAAACCTCATCTCTACTATTGGTAGCGACGTAAACAGCCTGACAAACACTCTCTTGCCGGATACCGATACTGCTACAGGTAACCCGACTCAGACACAGCCGACAGAACCTGCTGCCACTAACGATCAACCCTCCCAAACGGGCTCTGCAATTGTTACAGCACCGTCAGAGACACAAGCATCGCAGACAGAGGGTATTAGCGGTCCAGCGACTGCTCCCTCTGCTCCTGCTGCAACAGATGCATCATCAAGCGGCGGACTCGTTGATACGCTGACCAGCGACCTGCTACCATCCCAGCCCGAGACCATTGTTACGCCACCCTCCGAGACGCAAGCATCAGCGACTGTCGTCACACCCCCAGCTGAATCACAAATATCGGCGACAGAGGGTATCACGGGTCCGACAACGGCTGCGTCATCAAGTGGTGGGCTTGTCGACTCTTTGACGAGCGATCTCCTACCGCCGCCATCCTCTAGTATCGTTACTCCTCCAGCCGAGACGACACCCCCTTCAACTGAGGGTATCACTGGTCCAACAACAGCTGCGTCATCAAGTGGCGGGCTCGTCGACTCGTTGACGAGCGATCTCCTACCGACTCAATCCTCTAGTATTGTTACTCCGCCAGCCGAGACGACAGCCCCAACAACTGAGGGTATTACTGGTCCGTCAACTGCACCTTCGACTCCCACCGAGACTCCTACATCGAGCGGCGGATTGATTGACAGCCTGACCAGCGATCTGCTGCCGACCTCGACCGGGAGCATCGTCACGCCACCTCCAATCACAAGCTCAACCACCACACCGGTATATGTTACAACGAGCACAGAGTCTGGCATAACGACAACCGGAACCGGGGTAACCACGAGTGATGTCTCAATTAACACGAGTACTCAGAGTCCCACAAGCACCAATACGAATATAGGAGTAACTACCAGCGCCACCACTAGCCCGACAACCACCAACATCCTAACCTCTGCCACCACTACTGCTAGTTCGACGGATACCAACGTGGTTGTGCCCACGACCACAACCACTTCAGGCACTGCTAGCGGCTCTACGTCAAACACCAGCACGATTTCTTCGTCATCGGGCAGTGCGACCAGTTCTGACGCCGCACAGAGCTCATCGAGTGTTTCTGCCTCGTCAACTACGTCACCTGCCAGTACCGCGAGCACAAGCGTGCAGACAGTGGCTTCTACCAGCAAATCAGAAACGACGACATCACAGCCAACGACGGCACCAACGACGGCACCAACATCAGCACCAACATCGGCACCCATTACGGCACCCACTACGGCAACAACAACGGCACCGCAGACAATCAAGCCAACGGCAACCAACACGAACACTGCTCTGACGCGAGAATCGAGCATTATCAGTGCCACACCAACCAAATCAAGTAGTGGAGTGTCTTCAACTAAGCCGACTTCCACTGCGATGCCATCAAACCTTCCAAGAATCATTCAACCTCAGGGAGGTGTGCCCCGCCAGCCAGACAATGGAACACTGATTCAGCTTGGCTTCACATACGGACTGAATTATCCATTCGTTGTTTCGAATCAATGGGCTGTGCAGCAGATCTTCGATTACCTGCCACCGGGCGTTGCACATGGTGTCGGAATGGATAAGACTGAAGTGGTCATGCAGTACTTGCAGCCATACAACACGCTGAGCAGGAATGGCTACATCACAACCTTGGCCATGGCATACATTCCTGATGAGCAGGTCAATCCGCTCTCGTTGGCCTTACTGAACCCGAAATCCGATTTGTACAACAATGAGGATCCTACGGTTAAGACTCTTGTTGACATGCTTGACCCATCAATTCCTCTGATCGCTGGTCAAAACATTGGCGATGGTAGCCCTATCAATTCAGCCAACTCTGCCACAACGTCTGACGGCAGCAGTGGTGAGGGAGCAGCGGGTACGGACGACAGCACAGGAAACTCATCCGTCAAGCCTTCCTCAATCGGTATTGGTCTTGGTGTCGTTGGTGGTGCAGCTGTGTACGGTGTTGCCATGTTCATGGTTGCCAAGCGATACAAGAAGCGCAAGAATCAGCACAAGCGAGCAAGCAGCGTACAATCGGGCAGCACGGCTCCACGTGAGACCACCACCATGATGACAGGTGCACGGGACAGCTACGGTAGTCGACAACCTGGATATAACAATGCTGGTCATGGTCGCGAGTCACGAAACAGTGATCGAAGCCAGCAGTCTGGACGAACATATATCTCGCCACCTGTGATGGCTGAGAACAGCCTTGGATGGAACTGAGAGTGACAACCGTGATACCCTACCTTCCCACCTCTCACAACATATGCTTGTCAAGGTAAAGCCAAAAGCAAGCGCCGCCCTCAGCAGGGCCACCTTTTTCAACTTTCTATTTCATTTATTTTGGGGAACGATGTTTGAAGCAAGTTGGGCAGGAGGTCAGAGGACTTGTGGGGATGTATTGGATAGTTGGGGGAGATTTGTATAGCTGTGGTTGAATAGTTGAAGTGGGAGATGGTCGAGAATTGTATGTATGAATCTAGATACGAATGTAAATGCACCAGTGTCGATAGCGTGTTCTTTTGATCTAATGTCACACCCTGGTTAACCTAGAAGCAGATTTGTATATCTCATGCCTCACCTCTTGCCCTTGCATAACTTGTTCGTGTTACTCTACAGAGGCGGCAGGCACAATGGGCGTAAATGGGGAATGCCGATTTCGCTGTCCCTGAGCACGTCATGCACTAAAATCGAATTACCGAGTGCCTCAGATCCACAATGAGTCGGTCTTTGACCAGACCACCTTCTTGATCTCCAGATCAACGTTTGCTCAATCTGTACCAAAGCTTCTGTGCCACAACACAAGTCTCAATCGATATTTCGGCGTCTGCTCATATGCGCCTCAGCGTTCTGATATCGAAACTACAAGTCGTCGAGCTTGTTCCCCCACCTTGAGAGCCGTCCGCCACAGCTACCAGAAAATATGTCTGGAGCAAGCTCCTCCTCTACACCGCCTACGGGCGTCTTGCCGAACCCCAAGCTGAATGCTCTGGGTAAGGCTTTGGCACAGGTCGACCTTGATGGCCATGATCTGCCTCCCTCACCGGCACCATCTAGTCCAAGATCTGGAAGGCAATACTCGATTGCCACGCAGCTGGTCTACTCAGAAGGGAACGACCAGTACAATGCCTCAAGTGTGCCGATCTACCAGGTATGCTTCCACTCTCTTACTGCGAGAGCCAATACTGACCTTGCCAGTCCGCCACATTCAAACAGACCTCGGCCACCGCCGGCGCATCGAACGAGTATGACTACACTCGCAGCGGCAACCCAACCCGAACCCACCTCGAGAAACACCTAGCCAAGATCATGCGAGCAAAAAGAGCACTAGTCGTATCCTCAGGAATGGGAGCACTAGACGTGATAACAAGACAACTGAGACCAGGAGATGAAGTAGTCACTGGCGACGACCTCTACGGCGGCAGCCACAGACTACTGAAATACCTCTCCACCTACGGCGGCATCATCGTGCACCATGTGGACACCACAAACAACGAGAAGGTCCAAGAGGTGCTGAGCGCGAAGACCGCAATGGTTCTCCTCGAGACACCCACGAACCCCCTCATCAAGATCGTGGATATCCCAAGTATTGCAAACATGGCACATATCGCCAATCCTGCCTGTCTAGTGAGCGTGGATAACACCATGCTTTCTCCTCTCCTACAGAACCCGCTCGATCTCGGCGCAGACGTCGTCTACGAGTCTGGCACGAAATATCTCTCTGGCCACCATGATCTCATGGCTGGTGTTCTCGCCATCAACGACGAGGACCTGGGTAACAGACTGTTTTTCACCATCAACTCGTCGGGATGCGGACTGGCGCCCTTCGATTGCTGGCTGCTTATGAGGGGAATCAAGACACTAAAGGTGCGAATGGATGCACAACAAGCGAACGCTATGATGATCGCGCAGTTTCTCGAGTCAGCGGGCTTCAAGGTGCGATATCCGGGGTTGAAGAGTCACCCGCAGTATGAGTTACACAACTCTATGGCGCGGGGTCCAGGTGCGGTACTCTCCTTCGAGACGGGCGATATCAACCTCTCGGAGCGAATCGTGGAGTCTGCTAAGTTGTGGGCGATTTCTGTCTCTTTTGGCTGCGTGAACAGTCTGATTAGTATGCCCTGCCGCATGAGTCACGCCAGTATTGATGCGAAGACAAGGGCGGAAAGAGGTGTACCAGAGGACTTGATCCGGTTGTGTGTCGGTATTGAGGATGGCGATGACCTGTTGGATGATTTGAGGACTGCGATGGTACAGGCAGGTGCGATGAATGTTACGATTGACGGGATCAGTGCACGGAACAGGACTATTGAGCAGGATGATCCGGTAGAGGGCGAGAAGATTGCTGCTGATGCTGCGGCGGAGAATGAGCCGTGAGAGCCATCAAAGGAGGAATAATTGTTGAATTTGTGTATATATGAACGCGAGCGAATGTAGTACGATGCTGAACCCATTTCTTTTAAGCTACAAACACCACCACATGTGAAGACATATGAGTGCCAAGACAGAAACCTTGAACGAACACAGGCGTGCTCAGGAGCAGCTAAAAGCAACCTATTGCAACCAAACACATCGGGAACATCGCATTGCAAGCATTGGACCGCCCGCAAACCATGAACTTCTGTATACAGCTCACGATTGTACATAATCATAATGGCAGCAAATTTCGCGCTAAATTGTGCTTTTCGCGCACACACATTCGGCGTATGTTTCTTCGTCACTTTCTGTATAATCCAGTCTAACAGTTCTTAGCTGGTGGCGCAATGGTAGCGCGTAGCTCTCCTATTATTTGAGAGTTTTCTATTCCTCAAGCCTAGAAAATAGGTGGATTGAAGCTGAGGCTGTGGGTTCGAGTCCCACCTAGGTTGGTACCACTCTTGGAAGCTTGTAAGTTCAAACAACTGACATTAATAGGTCGGACTGAATCTGTTGTATTATCTTAAACGATATTTCTTTTTGTTCTCCTTATGAACGAACCTGAGATGTTTTTGCTTTTAAAACATTTCAGGGTGCTTGCTGCGTAGCGAGGAGGTTAAGGGGCTTTTGGTTCTTGCATCATCATTTTTGATCCGGAGAGTTAGCCATGTTGCGAGAGTTGATACTGTATCTATCCAGCTCCTGAAGCCGGTACGTTGAGGACACTGATGTTAATCATCAGGTAATCGTGCTGGACTCGAGAGGAGTCAGTCAATTTCCGCGGTGTCACAGTATGAGAGTGCACCAAAGCGCAGTTACATACAGCAACGAGACATAACTTACGTTAGTCGCAAGGGGAGCTGGACCCTACAAACCCGGACGTACGTTTCGTTACCTTACCTTGAATAGGCCCCGTGTGACATTTCTCGGCGACTGTTCTGAGCGGTCAACAGAGTGCTTCTTAGGTACTTACATCAGGCTGAGTTTTTCTGTACCATGCCGAGCTCTCAGCACTTGGATTACTCTTACTTACCCAAGACTTGACTTTGATCTTGATTTGATCCTCAAGCCTCTGGTCCCAGGTAAATGTGGTCGGAGAATGCGAGATAACAACGAGGATAAGCGAAGATGAGTTGATTGTGTGGGAGTGGAGGTCATTTGATCGCGAGTATTGAGTTTGTGATGTAGCGGGCGTGCCTGGTACTAAAGAACGCGTGTACGACTGTTGTGAGGAGGTAAGCACGAGCGTAAGCAGGATGCCGAAGCAGACAAAGATTCAAGATGTGTATCGCCGAGACAGGAACGACCACCAGTGAGGTGATAGGGAAGCCATGGCACAAGGTCAACAGGAAAGGACAACTCTTTGCATGTCAAAGAGCAGGCATGAACCAGGTACGACCGCTATCCTTGACAAGGCAGATTTCATATCATATTTCTAAGAGCAGACCGACCCTTTCGGCCTACACGAGACCAAGCTGAGCGCTCGGATGACTTCGTCTTCTACGGCTATCGTACGAACGGAATTGCAGATCACAGCAGTGAAATGGAATACTCATGCTTGTCACGCGATCGTGCAGAGGCATGTTTAGCTAGGCTGATGAGTGTTCAGATCAGATGGGTGCAGGATAAAGGTTGAGGTAGATGGAATCGTCAATACCAGGAAGAATCAGGACGTGGATACAGTGGCTTCTGGACGGCGTTGGAGAACCTGATCACTTCGCAGCTTGGGAAACGGCAGAAAGGGACACAGGTATGTGTACGTCTGGTGGACACCGTTGCTGTTCGACTGCAGTACTGGTAGACTCTATCGTGAGATGAGGATGGCTGGTACGGCCTATCTTGAGTTGATAGAGGCGTTCATGAAGTCATATCTCAGGAGTATATCGACACTTGCACATGTTCCCCATCATGTTGCAGAACGCCTTGGTGATCTGCGGTGATATTGCCTGCTCGGATGCACTCCAATCTCCTGTTCGCGTGTACTTACCTCCGTACGCATACCACGAGTCATGTCTTCCGTGACTACAGGGCGTACCTGCCTCGTCGTCTTCCCCTTCGCTTCATCCTACCTTCGAAGTATTCTCATCGAAAGTCGTGCTAGAGACAGAAGGAGTTTCGGATGTACTGTCACCTTCAGACAACTGCCGCTTCTGAGTACTCGAAGTCCTAGCGATAGGAAGATGGACTGTGATGTCACGAGTCGCGAGATCCTGCAGCCGCGCGTATCCGTCAACCTCCTTTTTGATCTCTTCGAATGGCATCACTAGAGCTTACAGACCCCAACTTACATCCACACCTCTCTGCATCCATCCGACACGCTGCTTGCCGATTCCTGCCGTGCCAACGTGAATGCCCGCCATCTCGAGCTGTAATTCCCGTTCAGACGCATGTTCGTTTCGGGACTTTGAGACAGATATCTCACCAGTCATCGCACAGATGAACGTCAAGCGGCTTCGAATGCCATCTGGCTGAAGTTGACGCACGAAGCTTTTGTCCAGTAACACTGTCGCAGATCCATCGTCCTTGGTCATTCTTGTGGACAAGCACGCCCATACTGCCGCACATCACAGTTCTGTATGTATGCTCCAACCGACGTAGCCCGACTATCCTTCATCCAAGCTGATAGTGGCCTTCGAGCGTTCGGTTCCCTCATTTGGCAATGCACTCATCCCTGTGATCGGACGCTGATATCTCTACTCCGGATCCGGCCAGCCTGTGAATTTCCGGCGGTCTTGCCTAATCACATGGTCGTGATCGAAGGTCAGCCACTGATGGCCAGGGCCACGAGAGCCAATCTCCCCCAACAGCACCGCCACGTCCGCATCAAAATGTGACCAGTCGAAAGGTCTTGGCAGCTCATCACCTCTCCGCGAGTCGTACTCAACCGGTGCAAGCCTGCCAATCTGCTGGGCCTGGTCAAAATACGGCATTACATCTTCAGATCTCTTCCAGTTTGTCGTAAAGTCCCAGTGGCCACCCCAAGTCCTTGTCGTCCCGTCTGGGGTCTGGTACTCACCACGGCGTTGTGCAACCTGCATTTCTAGCCCGTCGTACGGCATGTTTCTGAGCATCGTGCGGTATGTGGTATTCTGAGAATTCAGACACCAGGCATGAAAGGCATAACGCCTAGTCTGGTGGCTTAGCGGAATGGGGCTGGCTAGTTCAATGGTGCTCGGGGCGCGATCCATATACACTCCCATCGGAGCATATACCTTGCAATACCTCACGTAGTGTCGATGGAGCAATGCACGCGCGTAATGTAGCTCGGCGAGTTCGTGATCAGGAAGACCGAACCAACGGAAATGCGGCTCAGTGGTCCATCTGTGGCTAAGAATGTGGTCTGGAAGGTAGAGAAGACCATGAACGTGCGCCTTGCAGAACTTCAAGCCGTATAACTCCGCGGCTTCAAGAAAGCCCATGCAGGCGCGGTGTTCGATGTAATGTATCGTGCGTACGAGCCTCATGCGTTCGACGCTGGAGGTATGGTACATACGGTTGCCTGTTGCCAGATCTTGTGTCCACTGCCCAAGATCTAGTTGGATATCTGTATTGTGTGTTGTTTCGGCGTGGAGAGTGTAGCCACGATACATGCAGAGAAGCGTCGCCTGTAGCCTGAGGTTTTGCTTATCGAGTTGCTGAATCATGGACATTAATCTATCGACTCGTGGTTTGAGGTCACTTGTAATGATCTCGTTGCAAAATGTCGAACGCGCGTACGAAGTACCTTGATCAAGTACCAGGAGTGGTATAATCTCACTATCGGCAATACGCTGAAGGCGAGGAGGCAATTCGTTGGTTTGTACGACGACTGATTGCATGACAGTTGCATGATCCGTAATTTTGGCATATAGTTTTGCGTATGTGTGAGGGTTGTAGGGAAAGATCACACTCTGATCCACAGACGGGGCACCCTCCATAGCTGAAGATTCATTAGTGTTCTGTCGGTGGCTCTGTAGACCTAAGTCAATCGAGATATGGGGTAGACCGACTGGCAGTAGCGCCCGCTCAGGTGGTCGAAGTACTGGAGCTCGATTGAGGGTGCTCCGTAGCAATGCGTGGATTTGAGACGTGTGGCAGGTGACCCGAATCCATAGGCATTGCGTCGCAATCACGCCAATGCCCATCTGCCGAAGTCGTCTGGTAACGAACAACATGTTGGCCCCGAACAGTCTTTGAACCGCCACCTGAGGATAAGTTGCATTGAGCGGATGCCAAGGAACAGTGATAACATACGACAAGATGGTGTTGAGGATCTCATCTGGTAGTCCAAGTATAAGGCAAGGCTTCGAGCCTATAGCCGTGGCTTGTTGCTCATCACGAGTTGCAGCCATGTTTTGCGCCGTTCCTGACAGATGCAAGCAAAAGCAATGAAGTACAAATACGCGACGGCAAGACTTCGAGCAATGTGAGATCCATAGGGTAAGCACACAGGAAGGAATACTAGCGTGGGTCTCGTCACCGGTTAGGTGGGGTGCTACTGCCTACTAAGCGAGAGCCTTCCTACCACACGTGACCCTAGAAAAGCTTCTGTGCAGTCTGTAATGGTAGCTGCAAAGAAGCGTAATTGCCAGACGAGTGGTGCCGTGGTATGTCCGATTTCGGGCATCTCTCGGTTCGCACACCCAGCTAGGTTTGTATGCCAGCCGAATCAGATCGTAGGATCGTTTGATTATGTATCAAACATGGATCAGCAGCATACTGTCCGATGCTCCCCAGTATCGAAGGCTGCTAACACTGAAAAAACGATAGGTGGCAGACACTAAGTGCTCGTGAGAATCTCCAATTGATTGTGGCAGATTGAAAATAACGTAAAGGGTATCTTTGCCTCGAGACTCCGCGTTCGCCGGCGCTATTTGGTGTGTATTATGTGGCCGACCTTGCAGTAAAAACAACTGCACTCATCCTGAACAATATCCCTGCGTGATGTTGCCAGACCTTCCCTTCATTGTGCAAGACAGGCCTTGACTGCTATATGCCCATGCGTCAAGTCAAACCGTGGTAAAGTTTCGAGAATCTTCAGCTTGAGGCGTGAGAGAATGCTAGCTACCACTCACTTCGTCCCCGTATTATTCTTCACCTCCTTCTTTTCCGCATCCTTACTATCCGGCCTGTAGAACTTATTCGGCACGAACGGCATCCTGCTCACCTCTGCCTTCCTGACACCCTTCCTCACTTTGACGCCCACCTTCGTCCCGCTCTTATGGTAACCGTTCTTGATCAGCCCCATGGCAATATTCTGCCCGTCCATACTCGGACTTGGACAGCCAGATGTAATCTTTCCAATAACTTCGTTCTTCTCTGGATCCACAACCTCAGCTCCTTCACGTGCGGCTGGTCCCTTCTCAACTAAGAACCCTACGCGACGCTCAGACATTGTCTTGGGAGATGCAAGTTGCTCGAGGATTCTAGACCGTCCATAGAAAGCCGGGCTTGCAGAGTCAGACCGACGATC